AGAAGACGTTGGCCGGCACAGACAATTTTCTGTCTTAGGATGTAGTATCCATTAAGAACTTCAAATACCAAATTTTAAACAATTCCGGTAAATAATGTCGCTAAATTCATCAAAAAACCGAATATTGGGGGAACTGTTATATGGGGGCTATACGAAACGTGGACCTACATAGCCCGTTTCCAGTTTTATGCTCTAGTATCTATTGCGAACTTAAAATACCAAATCCTAAACATTTCCAGTAAATAATGTCGCTAAAATAATCAAAATACCGAATATCGGGAGGTACCGTTATATGGGGGCTATACAAAGACGTGGACCTACATGGTGTTTGGTATTAAACAAACATCCTGCAGACATAATACACATTTGAGTAAAATTTTATTAACCTACTTCATTTTGTTCGGAAGCTAGAGTGATTTCCACAGACGGATAGACGGACAGACGGACGGACATTGCTAAATCGACGTAGAATTTTATGCTGATGAAGAATATATACACTTTATGGGGTCTAAAATGTATATTTCGAGGTGTTACAAACGAAATGACAAAGTTAATATACCCTCCATACTATGGTGGTTGGTATAAAAACAGAATTGGCTTTTGATCCACATTAATGGTGACGCAACTTCCCAGTTCCGCAGCCTTTGCTTAGTGACTTTTTTGCTCAAAAATATGAAAAGGACCCGGAAAACAACACTTTCCTTAAAGAGCAGCAGTGACTCCAATCCGTAACGGTGATACCGGATGGTATCAAATTTATTGCTATTTAGTATTCTTAGTAAAAATATAGTTTAGATTTCCAACAAAAAAAATCTTCTGGTACATTTATCCTCAGGTACCATGATATCAATCACTCATTGATATATTTTCAAAATGCTTGTTTCCAAATGAATACAATAAAATGACTGTAACTCATATAAGATAGTTGTACAAAATTAGATAAGGCATTCCAGATAATATCTATGACTACCACAATGCCCAACCTATTCAATTCAATGATTTCTTAGATTGAGTTCTAGGAATGGAAGATCCTGGTCTCAGGATTCAAAAAACCTTTCTAATAATTTCTGACTGATTAGTAATATGTTCCAGACACGTAGCTTTTATTAGGCTCCCAACACATCATTTTTCAGTATTATTTATTTATTTTAATTATTGTTTTTTTTGCAATATTATTAATTTGGGTTGTGCCTTTAATAATCTCTTTTATGATTTAGCTCAACTCTGGTTTAAAAAACAAAGAAGTTTTGTTTGAGAATAAGGTTTACTGTTAGATTCTCCCTCTCTTTCATTGCTATTTAAATTACTTTCTACATATCTCTCTCTTCTCTTTGCCATTTAGTTAATTTTTAAAGATTTAAAATTTCACACAACCACAAGCTATTTTTCCCTTTTTAACGAACCCACAAACACAATGCTGTCTCAGATGGATTTCAAAGAATGCAAAGTCCTGATCTCAGAGTCCAATAATCTTTCTAATTATTTGAAAAGAAGATCTAATGATTGAGTGACTTGGTTATATGGAAGTTGCTCTCTCTCTCCTCTCCCATCTTTCTTTACCGCTAAAGCTATTTTCCGCCTCTTTTTCCTCATCACATAAAGACTGAAAAAAAACTTCTTGCAACCAAATGCTATTTCTCTCACTTTCTCTCTCTCTTTCTCCTTTTCACAACTTATGATGAACATCGCTAGCGTATGATGCATTAAATAAACCCTGAAGGCAATTACTTATACGCACTATTGCCCTACTCCAGTTTCTTAAGCGTTACGGAATTTACATAACGAGTTATCATCAGTACATTACATCGTACATAAATTATATACAATTTGTGTTTTTCAAGACTTTTCGCCAATTTTTTTTCAGAACATAAACCAAACGAAAAAAAGTTATTTTTTTTATATAAGGAACCATCAATGGGGATGAGAGGCCTGTTTGTTTGGCAGTTGATGTTGTTGTTGTTGTTTTTTTCGTTCTGCTCTTTCTCATCCATAATTTACACGAAACAAGAGTTTCGAAATGCATTCAAGCCTCCTTGGGCGTTAAGTAGCAGAAACTTTCTGGCGTTTTCAATGCTTTAAAAGTTAAATGAAATTTTTAAAATAAAAAAGAAAACTCAGTGGCTGCGTGTTGTGTTGGTTGCGCTGTAGTGAATGTGAATGCGAAATATACATTTCGTTTGTTGATGTTACGGCTGATTGTGTTTCCGGCCAATGTGAATTGTTCCATGTTTTCAACTTTGGTGGTGGTGGTGGTGGGGGTTGGCAGTGGTGGGGGTACTCTGTTATTATTTTGGTTTTCTGTGAAAGTCAAAATGCGTTGGTTCATTCCATTAGGACACTCCAGAGCAGCTCTATTGACATGAATTTTAAATATAATTTGGGTCATTTCTCGTATTCACATTTCACGCATACACACACACAAATACACAAAACATTTATTGCTGCTCTATGGCCAATGTTGAAGCATGAACAAAGCCAGTATTTGTGGTCCCCATAGTATCACGAGAGAACAAGGTGTTTTGTATGACCAAACCAAACAAAGCGGTTTTTGGCAATAGAATTTCATTATCCATGTTTTCTTTCACCTTTCAAGTTTTGATTGGGCGAATCGAAATGAAAGGCATGAGTGTCATTATTTCATTTTCTGGAATTGCGGTAAATGGAATAACAAATATTTATTGTGTAGGCGACGCTTTGCTTGGGAAAGGAAAATGGAGATAGTTTCTAGAGGCTGAGAATGCTTTCTAAAGATTATAAAATATATTGCTATTTGGGCAACAAATAAATAATGTTGTGATCGATATAAAAATAGAAGACATTACATACGAGGTGTAGATTCCTGATAAATCTATTAAAATTTAATCGGTGTATAACTAGCAACATGTTTAATTTGTTAATGCTCCTTAGGAGACTAATAAAATCGAAGAACAGTAAAAATGTCCCGATAATAAATTTCCATGATTTTTGCGGAGATTGAAAATGTTAGGGAAATGGGTGAATGAATGGAGCAGTTAAAATTGAAAAAATACAAAATTTTGTGTATCCTGATTTATCGTCTTGACGTGAGAATTAAACTCTTTTATTCTAAGTAGTTAAATATTAATCCAGTTTTGCCTGAGAAGGTTATTACAGACTAGAAAATCCACGTTTATAGGTCTGATAGTCCTTGGAAAATAATAATTTAAAAAATCCATGTTTATAGGTCTGATAGACCTTGAAAAATATAATTTAAAAAAATCAAGGTTTTTAGATCTGAAAAATATAATGTAAAAAAATCCAGGTTTTTAGATCTGAAAAATATAATTTAACAAAATCCTCGTTTATAGGTCTGATAGACCTTGAAAAATATGATTTAAAAAATCAAAGTTTATAGGTCTGATAGACTTTAAAAAATATAATTTAACAAAATCCTCGTTTATAGGTCTGATAGTCCTTGAAAAATATTATTTAAAAAATCCACGTAATACATACAGGGTGAGATGAAAAACCTGCAACCAAATTCAGACTGCTGTCATTTCTTAGCCACTCGTCCGACAGCTGTTAAAATTATTCAAGTGACAGTTAATTATATTGTTTACAAGCGTACAAAAGTATTTTGGTGAGAATTTTCCAGAAAAAAGTTATTCGTCATGGAATTCAGGCGTGATGTGTGATTTCTTAATATTTTGCTGGAAAACCACAAGTAGCTATCGTTAGAGCACTCCAGCATTTAAATGTGAATAAATTTTTTGTGTCTCGTGCCATAGCTCGTTACCGTGATACTGGTAGAGTAGCCCGACGTCAAGGAAGTGGAAAAAACAGCAACATCAGCAGAAATGTTTCGCAGTGGCCGAAAAATGGCTCGTGAGCTAAACATATCGCAATATTCCATTCGGCAAATATTGAAAAATGATCTCGGGGTTAAGCCATTGAAATTCCAAAAAGTGCAAGAACTTACACCGCAACAGAAAGAAAATAGACTCAAAAGAGCTAAAGAGTTGATTCGCTTGGCTGAAAGTGGTGAATTGCCGAATTTGGTTTTCTCCGATGAGAAAACATTCGTTATTCAGCAGTTTGTAAACCAACAAAATGATCGTGTTTACTTGTCAAAGAGGTCAGCTAAAAATGTACACCTTCTCTTGGCCACCAGAACTCAAGCTCCGGCCATGGTGATGGTGTGGGCCGCCATAACAGTCGATGGACGCTCTCCGCTCGTCTTAATCGATCGTGGCAGCAGAAAAAATACCGATTATTATCGCGAAAATATTCTGGAGGGTGTATTAAAGCCTTGGGCACGCAAACATTTTGGCCGCAGACCTTGGACATTCCAACAGGACTCAGCAAGGCCATAATTCGTGCCAAAGGTGTTACAAACGGAATGACAAACTTAATATACCCTCCATACTATGGTGGAGGGTATAAACAAAATAACAAAGTGTCGATCCCCTCAAGCAAACGCTTCGCTGGAAATGGCCCAAAATACCGCAGAGCAACATTCGGCCCCCTTTTACGGTTTCATTGGTCATAAGTGACAAATTCGAAAAAATATAAACTAATTCTTTAATTTGATGCTATTTCCGACATTTTTTGCTTTCATTTAATAAAATTAAAAAAGATAAATAAAAATTATGGCGTTTGACTTTGTTGCAGTTTTCTTGTCTCACCCTGTATTTGAATTCTTGAAAAATAATTTTTAAAAAATCCACTTCTGTAAGTCTGATAGACCTTGAAAAATATTTTTTGAAAGTCCATGTTTATATATTTTATATAACTATGTTGTAAAGAAAATCGGATTAGGCTTTACTTAGTGTAAATATTAACTAAAATAATTTGCGAGGAATTTTTATATTTAAAAAAAAACGTGCACATTCCATTTAACAACTTACAACAAAATCCCCATTCGATAGCTTTTAAATTCACATTCCAATGCAAATTCTTCACCTTTTAAAGAATTCCCATTTAAAACTTGAAAAAAAAAAAATATTTAAAATATTTTCACTTCTTTGTATTTTCAGATACATGCAAACAAACATATTTACAGAACTCTACAAATATTTAATGAATCATGCCATCCATGATGGTTGAATGTAACTGTAAGAATTTTCAATTTGTTATTGTTGTTTTATCCTTTAAATAATTCATGTGTGTTAATGTCTGCGTCTGTCTTGTTTGAGTGCAAAACGAAATACAGAAAACATATAAACAAAAAGCATATACAAACTAAATGTCCAGTCCTTTGCTATGTGAATGTCCTTAACTGACAACAACGGCAGCAATAGCAAACAGAAAATATTTAAAATAAGTGCAAGCTTTCACCTAATTAACCAATGTATTAAAAAAAATTGAAACTACTTACTCGCTCAAAAGAGAGGGAGACAGCATGAGGGTGTTTGAATGTTAAACCTGTAACCACTTTACTGCTAACAACTCGTCCACCCGGTTGTTAGATTGTCCCAGAGAAATGCATTAAAATCCAATCAGTCACATTTAGCCAGACCCCTAAGTAGAGACACTTGGTCACAAAGCAGAGTCAAACACACAGAGCATAGAACGCACCGAGCAACACTCTCTCTCTCTCCTCCACCTGTATTATGCAAATAAATATTGCAAACAGTGGTCCAACAATGGCTGCATCCGAGCCACCAGAACCACCGCCGCGTAATCCGGAACGCATTAATGCCACACTGCACAAGTTGGCCGAATCCGTAAGTAGTGACGGTGCAAATTTTCCACTTTCTTCATAGTTTGTTTTCGTTTTGTGTTGTTCATTCATTCTATCACATTTTCCACACATTCTTCCCCCCTTTTTGATGTAATTCTTGCCTGCTTGTCCCCCAAACTCTACCCCAAACTATATTCGTGATGCTCCCTCGTCCCATCTCTATGTTGGGAAAGAGAATATAAAAAAAATGTTGGCTCGATTAGAACTTTTAATGTTTTCTGCATGTTTACTTTCCGTTTTCATCTTTGACTGTTGTTTTCTTTTTACCCATCCACTATTTATTGGATGTCTTAAATTAAAAAATTGCTCACGCTCTTTGACCCCTTAACTTTGTGTCATCCAACCTTAGAACTCACCCTTTTCCAATTATTCGCAATTTTTTCCGTTTTGAATGTTTAGAGAAAAAAGACAAAAGAAATATTTTCACTGTTGCATGCAATGTAGAAAATGAAAAAAAAAAATAACGTTTTGGAGAAATGGTAGGGATGTTTGGAGATAAATCTACCCCACAATGGTGTACTATATCAGAGACTATGGCAATGGAAAGACAAATGGTTATTCCCTTTACCATAAACAGTGTGGGGACTACGTTCCATTTGCAACTCATTGAAATAATCATTTATGACTCTATAAAGTTTATTCTGGATCAGTGTAAAATTCAAAGACAACTTACGTATCTCTCTTCGTCAGTTGGTATTTGGAAAACTGGAATTCTGTAAAAAAAATTGAAAAACCTTCCAATTTTTGTCATTGGCTCCTTATCAGTGTATCACCCAATGTGAGCATTTTAGAAGGTTTCGACATGACCGATCCGATCAAATCAGATTCGACTTCGAAAAAATGAAAACCACTTTCTTTTACATCTTCACTTATCGATGTGTATTTTTATTGACTTAATTAGCCGTACTGAACTCGAATAACCAAAGGCATATTTTTAGTCCTATTTTCAAAATGTATTTCAAAACTTCCTCTTAACCGGATTTTCTATACAGGTTCGCAGAAAACATCAAATTTGTAAATCTATCCTACTCACTCATATTTATAAAAACACATTTTAGGGTTAAAGTCGTACTTAAAAGGGCGTTTAAGCCAAATTCTCCACAAAAAGTATAATTTTAGAAGGATGACTTCAAGAACAAAATTTTTCTTCATCAAATTTCACTTTAAATCGCCAATGACAAGAAATTTCAATTTTTATTAGTTATCAAGACAATTTCTACATCGATACTGCCGAAAAAAGTACTCACTTTTATACCCTACACCACATAGTGGTAAGGGTATTAGGTCTTTGTGTATTTGTTTGTAACATGGAGAAGGAAGCGAGATAGACCTAAAGTTAGTTTTGAAGTTCTGTGAAGATCACTCCCTGAGTCGATTTATGCATGTCCGTCCGTCCGCCTGCCCATGTATAGGTCGCATTTATTATCCGATCGAGATGAAATTTTCCAAACAATATTTATTTGGCCCAAGGACGAACCCTAATGAAATTTATGAGAATCAGTTCAAATTTAGATATAGCTCCCATATATATCTTCAACCGATTTAGGGCTATTTGTGCACCAAATGGCTAATGTAAGTCCAAATGACCTGTATTTTAGTACATCCCACCGAATTCAGTCTAGAAGCAAGTAAATCAAATTTGGAGAAAATCGGTTCAGATATAGCTATAGCTCCCAAATATATGTTTCATCAGATTTGGGGAATAAAATCCCCCACATGCGTAATATGCACTCCAGAAGAATGATACTTGGTACCCGATATCAAAGCATCGATATACATCTTCATCCGAAAATACCTCTGTCAAATTTTATCGAGATCGGTTTAGATTAGGATATAGCCCCCATAGATATCTTTATCCGAAATTAGGTTTATTGTGCACCAAATGGGCTGATTTTTGGCAATTACGACTGAATTCATCGTATAAACCAGATATAGCTCCGAAGTAAGTGCATCAAATTTTGTCAAGATCGGTTCAGATTTGAATGTAGCTCCTATATATATCTTCAATCGATTTTGTTCTAATTGTGCACCAAATGTCCAACGTAAGTCCAAATGACCTGTATTTTGGTACATCGAACCGAATACATTAAATTTAGAGAAAATCGGTTCAGATATAGCTGTAGCTCCCATGCATATGTTTCATACGATTTGGGGTTATAAGTCCCTCACATGCGTAATATGCACTCCACAAGAATGATATTTGGTATCTGGTATCACATACAGCTATGAAATAACTCTGAAAAATTTTATTAAGATCGGTATAGATTTGGATATAGCTCCCATATATATCTTCAACCGTTTTCGGGTTTATTGTGCACCAAATAGCCAATATCAGTCCAAATGCCCTGAATTTTGGTACATCCGACCGAATTCAGTCTAGAAGCAAGCACATTTAATTTAGAAAATATCGGTTCAGATATAGCTGTAGCTCCCATATATATGTTACATCCGATTTGGGGTTTAAGTCCCTCATATTCGTAATATACATTCGACAACAATGACATTTGGTACCAGATTTCTTATACAGCTCAGAAATACCTCTGCCAAATTTCATCAGAATTGGATCAGATTTGGATATAGCTCTTACATATATAATATACAGATTTCGGGTTAATTTTGCACCAAATGACCAATATAAGTCAAAAATTCCTAAATTTTGGTACATCCGACCAATTCAGTCTTGAAGCAAGGACATCAAATTTGTAGAAAATCGGTTCAGATATATCTATTGCTCCCATATATATGTTTCATCTGATTTGGTGTTTAAGTCCCTCATATTCGTAATACGAGATATCTTATAGAGCTAGAAATACCTTTGCCAAATTTTATCGAGAACGACTAAGATTTGGATATAGCTTCCATATATTAGTTCCCTCTGACACCAAATGTTGATCGGAGGTATGATCTACTTCAAATAAATTATTTTGTTACGGGAGCTCTCCTAAATATACAAAGTGGTATAGGGTTTCATTACTTTTCTTTACTGGTTTTAACCCGATTGGGTGTTAAAACCAATAAAGAAAGTCCTAAAGTCGGGCGGGGCCGATTTTATGATACCCTACACCACTTTGCTAATTTAGTTGAGCTCCACTTAATAATTAAAAGTTTTTATGGGAGAATTCAATCATACACGCTATGATTATAATTATAATTTAAAATTCAAAGGACTAAATATGCCGAAGCATTTGTATCTTTTAAATTCGGACTTGTATTCCCCATTTGGTGTGAAATTATTTTGAAATCGGATAAAGATATATATGGGAACTATATCCAAATCTGAACCGATCTCGATAAAATTTGGCAAAGATATTTCTGAGCTGTATTTGATATATTTCCCTGAATATCGTTGTTACGGAGTGCATATTACGGCTGAGGGTAACAAATACAATAAATCGGATAAACAATATATATGGGAGCTATAACTATATCTAAACCGATCTTCACCAAATTTGGCATACTACCTTCTAGACTAAATTCGGTCGTGTGTGCCAAATTCCATCCCATTTGGACAAATATTAGACGTTTGGTGCACAATAAATGGTAAATCGGACGAAGTTATATATGGGAGCTATATCCAAATCAGAACCGATCTCGATAAAATTTAGTAAAGGTATTTCTGAGCAGCATTTGATATATTTCCCCAAATATTGTTGTTAAAGAGTGCATATTACGGCTGCGGAGGACAAAAATAACAAATCGGATGACCAATATATATGGGAGCTATAGCTATATCTGAACCGATTTCGATAAAATTTGGCATACTTATTTTCAGGCCTAATTTGGTTGTATGTGCAAAATTCCATACTATTCGGGCTGATATTACACGTTTGGTGCACAATAAAAGGCAAATCGGACGCAGATATATATGGGAGCTATATCTAAATTTTTACCGATTATCTCCAATTTCAATAGGGTTCGTCCTTGGGCCAAACAAATGTTGTTTAGAAAATTTCATCTCAATCGGATAATAAATGCGACCTGCATTTTGTTCACAAGAATACATGGACAGACGGACGGACGGACAGACGGACTGACATGCATAAATCAACTCAGAAAGTGATTCTATGCAGATCATCAAAAGGAACTATGGGTCTATCTCGTTTCCTTTTACCTGTTACAAACAAATGCACAAAGACATAATACCCTGACCACCTTGTGGTGTAGGGTATAAAAAGTATTTAAAGTTTTGTCAAGATCGGTTCAGATTTGGATATAGCTCCCATATATATCTTTCTCGATATCAGGTTTATTGTGCACCAAATGGCTAATAACATCCTAAATGGACTAAATGTTGGTAATTCCGACCAAATTAATCCTAGAAACAAGTACTTTAAATTTGGTAAAAATTGGAGCAGATATAGCTAAAGCTCCCATATAAGTCCCTCACATGCGTAATATGCACTCCACAACAATGATATTTGATACCGGGTATCAGAAATAATACCGGGTCCGAAAATACCTCTACCAAAGTTTATCGAGATCGGTTCAGGCTTTTATATACCCTCGATATACATCTTCATCCGCTTTTACGGTTATTGCTCACCATATATGTAATCTCAGCCCAAATTGAACAGATTTTTTCATAATCAAAAGAATTTTACCATTTGGAGAAACTCGGTCCGGTATATATCCAATATAATTACCGCAATGTTAAATGATTTATAGTTGGTATATTTCACATAAATTCCCAATATAAACTTGCGGGAGCTCTACTAAATACACACTGTTGTGTAGTGTATTCCTCCCTCAATTCTTTTGACCTTTTCTTACTGGTTGTAAAGAATTTTTCCTTAGCCTTTTATTGAGTTGAGGCATGAAAGTTAAGTAAATTTTTTTAGGCAGAGAGTATCAAAGGAAGATTTATTCTATACCAAAATTCCGCTATAATTTTTTAATTATTGGTATTATTTAGGTTTAATAGTTTTTAAAACAATTTCTATAATATTCCCCTCTCCTTTTATGAAAACTGTTAAAATTTTAAATGACATATCGGTTTATTGATTTTTTTATGATTCCAATGTGCATCATCGAAAAAACGATGTAGACCCTATATCTTTCTAAACAACATCAGTTTCAAGACATTTGTAAAATCTGGACAAATTATTTAAATATACGATTTATACTTTCATTTTTTCTTTCTAGTTGAGGATTTTAGTTATTGTAAGGGTCTCGACTATATTTTCCAATCAATTTAGCTTTAACTTTGTTTTCATTGACCGAAGAACAATTTTTCGCAATAAATTTAAATGTAGGTCCATGTTTCGGAGTATTCATTTCATTAATTTCAAGGGTCTTGAACAGATTTTGCTAAGAATGATGTTTTTTTCGACAGTTGATATTTAATATTAATAGAATCGATTTTCTATACTAGAATTGTTGGTAGAATTGTTGTTATTGGTGCAGAAATACAAAACTCCAAAATAATAATTTTCAGTCAAATGGAAAATATGGCTAACTTGAATCTAGGGGTATCATTATATAACTGTTCTACCAAAGGTGGACCTTTATTCGTATTTTTTGTAAATAGAGTAATAATGTAGAGTTTCTGCATTAGAAGAACTCAAAATGCCAACATTTGGTAAAATTAAATGAAAATCTGAAAAAAGTAAAAAAGCTGTAAGTTCGGCCGGGTCGAACTTTTAATACCAATTTTCAAAAAATAAAATCCCTTAAAAATTCTGCTAAAATCTTAAAAATACCAAATGTAGCCATTATATTAGGGCCTATACGACAAAGTGGACTTGCATACGTAACTTTTGTCATAAGCCATTTCTATATTCAAATGCGAAATTTGAAAAAAAAATCGGTGAATATTGTAGCTAAAGTCATCAAAATACCGAAAATAGGGAGGTACTGTTATGTGGGAGCTCTACGAAGGCGTAGACTTGCACGAACAATTTTCTGTCATAGGGTGTAGTATACGTTACGAACTTCAAATTTAAAATTGAAATAGTTTCTTATTCATAGGAATGGTTTCAAACTTCTGTCGATAAAATCAAAAATTTAAATACCGAATATCAGGAGGTACCGTTATATGGGGGCTATATGAAAACGTGGACCTACATGGCCCATTTTCAATACCAAAAGTCCTGCAGGCATAATATACATTTGAGTAAAATTTTATCAACCTACTTTATCTCGTTCTGAAGCTAAAGTGATTTCCACAGACGGACGGACATCGCTAAGTTGACCTAGAATTTTATGCTGATCAAGAATATATGTACTTTGTGGGGTCTTAAATGTATATTTCAAGGTGTTAAAAAAGGAATGACTCCACACTGTGGTTCAGGGTATAAAAACTTGAAATCGGATGCAACCTCACTCCACAAAGTGGACCGATACGACCATTTCAACCTCGAAAGGAGTATTTGGATATATTTGGTCCAAACTTGGTTCTTCGTAGTATTATAGTCAAACTTAGATCGAGTTTGGAGATGGACAATATCGATCCACTCCTTTTGGCACCTCCCTCACAAAAGGCGACAATTTTCATAGAAAATAATTTTCCGTATAAAACAGGAAAGGATCATAGAATTTTTTGTAAATAACTTCTGGGGAGAATATCCCAGACAAAAAACAAGGGAGCTGATGAGGATTGGTGCCTCTTTCCGAAACCTAGGTATTCCCTGCCTTACCCCTTGATAAACATTACCATCGTTCTCCACTAATAAACAAACGTTGTTCTTATAAAAACAACAATAAAGGGATTAAGCCTGACCATTTTGCAATAACAAAATACTATGGTATCCCGAACAAACAAGCCAACACTCTTCTACAAACATTTTTTTTCAGTATAAGTTGAAGTGAAATGCTTTCATCCAATATATCGGGCACCTCAACCATTTTTCAACATTTTCCAAAAATTATCACATATCTCATATTAAGTGAAGGTCGATATTGTCCATGAGGTCGATAAAGTCTTTCTTATCCCACCGATTACATCTTGAAAAATCAGAATAAACTAAAAAAATAAAAATTTTGAGAGTCGGCAAAAATAATTTATTCAAACTCTTAAAAAGTTTGCTATCTTTTGAAGTCCTTTGGCCACTTAACTGCCTCTAATAAGCCACTTGAATGCATATTTGAGTTCTGGCAGAATAGCCCACATTTTCTAAGTCATAATTCTTATTTTACAAGACTTTTTTAGAAAATATATCTTTTAACAATAAGTGAATTCCTTCATAATTGCCGAAAAATGATGTCACCAAATTTCTGCTAAACGTTTTCGAAAAGAAGAAATTTAAATAAGTAATGCTTTCTGCAGATCTTCTCCACGCTTTACTTGTGAATTATTAACGGTTTTCGTTTCCCATTACACAGCTGAATTGCTTGTCATCAAATAGTAGTATTTCTCTATGTTTCCAAGTACTTTGCCATGCACTTTTCTGTTACCTTTCTCCAACTACAATTTCATCTCATTATAAACGTAAAACCCAACTTGTTTAGATGTCTTCGCCAGCCATAAATATTCTGCCACTGATTTAGTTTTTTTTTTTTTTTTGCAAGTTTTCTAGTTATCATTCTTTACCTTTGTTCTCTTTTCAATTTATCTTGCAGAAAAATATCAAGTCATTAGATTCCAGTGCACTCAATGACAAAACCCGCAATAATAATAAACCTTTGAAAACGATATTGTCATTGGATAATACAACAACATCAACAACAGCCGCAGGAACAACTCAGACAGTGGCTGTGGCAGCAACGACGGCAACTCTAACGACAGTAGCAGCGGCAGCTGTGCCGACAACATCAGTGGCATCTGCCACACCGATAACAGCGGGTTCGACAAAATTTGCTGCCAGCTCGAACAACGTACAGTCCCCATCGGCCACGGCAGCCGCCTCAGCACTTTTCTATAATAAACATAAAAATCAGCAACAACAAAAGCAACTGCAACAGCAACAACAGCAGCAACAACAACAACTACAATCACCACACAATGATTTAACACCAAGTGGTGAAAGCATCACATCGCCTTTAAGCTCCAATGGTAGCAGTCATACCCTAACATCACCAATGACTATTGATAATCAGCAACAGCAGCAACAACAGCATCGTCTCAATTTCCCCTATCCCTCGGCGAAAGGTAATAACAGCAGCAGCAATAGCAACAGCAACAGTTGTAGTGGAGGCAGTGGTGGTACAGATACCACTACAGCTATACCACACATGACCCAACAATTGAACGGAGGCAGCCAACGGAGTGGCGTTGGTGGCCTTCTAAACGAACAACAACAGAATCATCATCTGGCCAATGGCAGTACAGGTAGTGCTGGCAGCGTTAGTGCCGGTTCCGCATCGTCGACCAACAGCAATCACAGCAACACAAGTCTGAATGCGGCCAACGTCTACAACTCGAACAACATTAACAGCAACAATTCACCAGCTTCGGGATCAAATATTCATCCAACATTAGGTAAGTGAGAGCTATTTCATGTTAAATGTTTTCGTGTAGTTTGTTTTCTGAGAAAATTTGTTTCGAATGACCAAATTCCGAAAGAAGCTTGAAATGATGATGTAGGTGAGGTAAAAAGCGAATGATGATGTTGTAAATGTTTTTTTTTCTTAACATCAAAATAAATGAGTTTTTTTTTTTTTTTTGTTGCGATATCTTGCGTTACCCACAGGCAAGTGACTACAGAGGGTATGTATTATTTGATGCGGCCACAATATGCCTCATTGGTTTCCAGAGTTTCAATCCCATGTCTCTTTCAACGAAATCCACTCTGAAATATGTCGTCTGTTTGGGTGGCCAGCTGGTGCACCCAATAACTCTCGAGGGAATTCTACGATTCGATCCAAACTTATATTTCTCGTTATATTTTTTCTACCAAACGTATATAAAGTTCGAAGATGGGCAACATAGAGTTTTCCTTCAGGCATTTTTCCACAAAGTTTCGATGTTAAATACCAGTAAAGAAAGGCCAAAAGTCGGAAGGGTGGGCTATATGTAAACCTACACAACAACGATTTTTTAGTAGAGCAACCCGTTGCAAATAAACGTTTATAATAGGAATAAATGTGAAGTATTTGGACGAATATTACACATATGGTGCACAATTTAAATTGTGAGCTATATCTAAATTTAAGCAGATCATAACCTTGGACCAAACTAATGCTTTTTATAAAAATCTTCGAACATTAAAACGCGATCTTAGTAACCAAAAATAGCCTACAAAATTATTTGGCATAAAATTCTATTTTGTGTCTCGAAATATATCGCACATCTAAATCATACCTAAACGCCAAAAATGTAAATAAATCTTAACGTTAGAGCTTTTTTCCAGGTTAACATTCGATATGAAGATTTATTTGAGGTATATATGGTGAAATTGGCAATTTAAAACGACTAGTGTTTCTAGGTATATTATTTTCGAAATCTCGCTTGAAATTTTCTTCAAGTCCGGATTATTGAAACTTCCAAGTGAATTTGATAGTATTCGATTTGTAGATCAAACCCGCAAAAGAGTCTCGGATTCTTATAGTCAACTTTTTAAGGATATAGTTCGCAATATTTAACATAGTCTTTTGAGAATTTACAGAAAGCTTTGGATCACTTTAAGAATCATTGGTTTGATTCATGTCGGTCCCTTCTTGTACAGTCCATACTTAAGTGTGGAACTAATTTCAAGTATTTTTTTACAGTATAGTCATAAATTTCTTACAGCCAGTTTTTGTAAGTAAAATACTTTATACCCTCCACCATACAGTGGAGGTGTATATAGAATTTCTCATTCCGTTTGCAACACCTCGAAATGTTTGTCAGAGAACCCAGTATAAAATATAAGGCGATTTAGCGATGTCCGTCTGTCTGTTGAAATCACGATGGAGTCCGCATTTATATACCCTACACCAGATAGTGGTAAGGGTATTATGTTTTTGTGCATTTGTTTGTAACATGGTGCAGGAAGCGAGACAGACCCGTATTTACTTTTGAGGATTTTCATAGAATCACTTTCTCAGTCTCTTTATGCATGTCAGTCCGTCAATCCGTCGGTCTGTCCATGTATTTTTGTGAACGAAATACAGGTCACATTCATTATACGATTGAAATTTTCCAAACAATAATTTTTTGTTCCAAGGACGATCTCAATTGAAATTTGTGAGAATCAATTCAAATTTAGATATAGCTCCCATAGATGTCGTAAATCGATTTCGGGTTAATTGTACACCAAATGACCTGAATTTTTGCACGTCGGGCCGAGTTCAGTCTGAATGAAAGTACATCAAATCGGTTCCGATATAGCAATAGCTCGCATATATATGTGTTATATATGTGTTATATATGTATATGTGCATATATATTATGTAACACCTCGAAATATTGGTTTCCCACATAGGAAAGTATATATGGATCTTCCTATTTCGCCGAGCTGAGTCGATCTAGCTATGTATGTCCGTCCGACCGTCCGTCCGTCTGTCCATCTTAATTTGTACTCACTCTACATTTCGCAATTATGACACAATCTTCACGAAATTTAGAATGGAGGTGGGGCTATAGCCAGAATAGAACCATATTACTTTTGGAGATGATCACATAATATTTAGGACCAATAAATGGGCCAAAAACTGAAAAAATTCTAAAATAGACTAAAACATTTGTGTTAAACAAAAGCCAAATTTTCAATTAAATCGCGAATATTTTAAATCCCGACGAAATCAGAAATAGACAAACAGGTCAATTCTGACCGTTACATAGATCTAGTCAATTCAGAATTCCTTCTTGGCAAAAAGTATACAATCTGAAAAAAAAAAAAAAAAAACACATAAAAAGATGCCAATAATGATGTTTATATAGATTTTATAGTATTTTGTGATATTTTTTTTATTTTTTCATATTTTTATCGCATGCGATTTTTATACCCTACAACACTATGTGTTGAGGGTATTATAAGTTTGATTGGGCCAAAAATTATGTAACACCACGAAATATTGGTTTCCCATATAGGAAAGTATATATGGATCTTCCTAGCTCGCCGAGCTGAGGCGATCTAGCTATGTATGTCCGTCCGTCCGTCTGTCCGTCTGTCCATGTTAATTCGTAATCACTCTACAGGTCGCAATTATAGCCTGATCTTCACGAAATTTAAAATGTAGGTGGGGTTAAGGTCAGAATAGAACCCTATTTCTTTTGGAGAGGATTGCATAATATTTAGGGGTTGAAATGGACCAAAAACTGAAAAATTTGCTGATTTTGCAGTTGCTCTACAGGTCACAATTATAGACCAATCGACGCGGAATTTCGCATGTAGCTAGAGTTTAGGGCGGGGAAGAAGCCTACCAATTTGGGGGGTCATCGGATAATATTTAGCGGGTAAAATAGACTATTTCTATTTTGTTGAAAAAATTCAAAATTTTTCATTAAACAGCGAATATTTTAAATCGCGGCGAAATCACAAAGCCATGACAAGGTTACTCCTGATCTTTACATTGATGTTAACACCCAACAAAACGGATATATAGAAAAATATGTGCGATATATATGTCTACCAAAGAAGATATGCTTGAAAGATGTCTTATATGTCGAGAACGGCTGAACTGTTTTCGACAGTTCTCATTAATTCAGAATGGCCTCTTGGCAGGAAAGAAAAAACGTCTAAAAAATCGCATAAAAACATCTCTCTAAAGATGAAAATATTGATTTTTTAAAATGTTCTCATATTTTTTCAATTTTGTCATATTTTTGGCATATTTTCATTTTGAATTAAACATTTGGTATATTTCTATAGCTAACAAAACTAGGTAGTTAGGATATCAGGATATCATATACAGATCGCATTTATGGCCCGATCCTAACGAAATTTTGCATGGGGATCAGATGAGGGTCAGAATAGAAGCCTACTCATTTTGGAGATAATCGCCATATATTTAGGGGTTGAAATGGACCAAAAAAAAAACTGCAAAATTGTTAGCAGGTCGTAATTATTGCCCGATCTTCACGCACATTTGAATGGGGGTTACGGGCATTGCAAAAGCCAAGCAGTTTTGGATGGCCATCCAAAAATATTCAATGTGTGAAATAGTTTGCCAACTTTTGTAGACTAAATACGAAAATGCCCATTCCAGCGACTTTTTGGAGAATTCACAAATACAGGAAAGACGCACTTCTGACTATTTCGTTAACGCTGATTTCGTTGAAGAATATAGTCAATAGTCAAATGTCTGTATCTCATATAGATGCGTTTCAGTCAAAAACCAATAATAAATGTTAATCTTTTGCCACTTCTGAGAGATTATTTGTCTTTGGGAAATATTGGTTCCAGATCTAGGAAGACCATTTATGTGCAACATCTTCCAATAAATTGGAAATGAGCAAATTAGTTTAAGTTGCTATTATTCGAAAATTAGAGAACGAAACCTGATGGTTTTCTTTTATTATTTATCACAATATCTTGTGGAATTCTTTCGAGTATCTCCCCTATATAAACTGTATCGTTTATTATAGTGTTGTAGGGTATTCAACGGTCGGCCCCGCTCGACTGTAGCCTTTGCTTACTTGTTTTTCCTTAAAGTTCTTTAACAATTTTTTTATTATTTGATGAGAAAGCCATTTAACTTATGACAAATGTTACTATCGTCAGATATAGATTTTAACGTAAAAATTGATGCTTATCGATCGATATAAAAATTCTTCTTTTGATGCTGGCAACGATTATTTGATTTTTAATTGCAAATCATTTTATAAGCCTCTTTTAATTTTAATATATTATTTTTATAATCTATCCAACTAAGACCTAGTCGTTTACATCAACAAGAGAATTTTGGAATTTGGTCTTTCAGTTGTTTATTTATTTGTTGAATAAAAATTCTAATCTCTACCCTAACACAATATATGTTTTTAATAAATCTCGCCCCCCTAAATGTCTATTCATGTTCATGTGCGTGTGTATTTGTATGTCTGTGTATATTTGTTCTTGTTTATGTATTTGTTTGATTACTTCTAATCCATAATTTTCAATATAATCATAGTAAAGTTGAAATTATTTAAAATTCTATCTCTATACTAATAACATTTTATTCGAAACTCTGTGTAATCAATGGATGAATTGTTCGTGCGCGAATTTTGTTTAAACAATATGTATTTGATTGATAATTGTGTATTTAATAATATTTATCTGTATAATTTCGATGTTTTGTGCGTTTTTGTAATTAATCCCCCCCCCCTTTTTCAATATGTAACATCATTCAATTTATATTAAATTTAATTTTCAATGAATTTGGATTTTGTTGAAAATATTGTAAATTATATAAAAGCAGATTATAAATAGATATATATACAAATGCCAGAAATAAATGTGGATACATGAAAGTGTGTAGGTAAATGATAAGCTATGATACTCGAAAATTCTATAGTCATCGTGGACAATAAGTCACTTCCAGTCATGATGAAAGTTAATCTATTTCCTTGAAATAGCA